CCCTTAAATAAGTTTTGTAACACTGCGATTTCTTAATCTCAAGAAATTGCAATTTTAAGATTTGCATTCAGGTGATGAAATTCTTTTGACCGCCACTGTATATTAAAATCACGTGTTCAGTGTTCAGACACAGTGTAAACTAAGAAATTTTCTTATAACACTATATACAATTTTTTTTATAGATTATTAGATTTATATGATAATAATATTATAATATTAATATAAATTACAAATTTATTATTATTTATTATATTTTTTATCTATATTTTTTATCTTATAAAAATCAATTAGATTCTATTAATAAAAGTTTATAACATAATAAAACTGTAATAAAAATTGAAAATAAAAATTTTTTTTTTTTTTTGAATAAAAATATTTTTTTATTTACATTTACAAAATGCATATATTAATATGCAAATTAAAGCGCTTATTGTCTTTTTGCATTTGATTATTATTATTATTATTATTATTATTAAAATTATTATTAATTTTGCTTTATTTATTATTATTATTATTATTATTATTTTAATTTTAATTTTAACCCAACCATCCGATCGGTATTTAACTAATTTTTCATATAAAACAAAATATATGCCGATCGATCAGTCGGTTGGTTAGGATTTTCCACAGCAGCGACCTCTTCTGACGATATCGTCGAAATCGCCGTATCGTCTACGTGATGCCATTCGTTATTCTTACGAAGTATGTCAGCTGTGTAATGCCCACCAGTGGCCGACTTCCCGTGATGGTATACGACTATTAAAAATTTTTTTTAGATCACACATCTCAACAAACGTAATAAGTACTTAATAATAATAACTTACCTCCGAAGAGTCTGTAATCTACTGCTTTTCTAGGGCGACGTGTAGGGGAAAAGATTTCTATCAAATAAATAATACAATAAAAAAAATAAGCATATTGTTGATATAAAATTCTTATCACAAAAGTGTAAAAATAATTACCGGGCTGAATCGACAATGTTGTCGAGTACCCAATATGTTTACTGAGTTTTTGCGTCCCACCAACGTTATCATAAACGAACCTTTTCAAATGGAGAGTTAATATCGGTGGAAGCTCCTCAATATAGAGACGCTTTGTAGCTCGTATCTATAAAGTGTAAAAAAAAAAGAATTTTTTTTTGAAAAAGATTTCTATACTATACATAGCACCAAACTATTAACGTACTAATCCATTTTTGGGCGAGTAGAAGTCATCCACGTATTCTGGGACAGTTAAGTTTTTTAGAGCATCCCCAATTGTTTTTACGTCATTCGGCTAAAAATAATGAATTAATATAATATCTTATGTGTATACTAACGAATAGTAAATAAATTTACCTGTATATCAAGCTGCAGTGACTGATATGGTTGCAATGTGATGGAATCAGCGCTTCCAGGACAAGTTAATTCCGATCTGAATTTACCACCGAATATGTGACTAATTGGCGTTTCTTCAACATCGGTCTATAATAGAAGTAAAAAATGAGTATCTAGATCCACGAGTTAGAATTAAAATATTTACTATAAATTGCCTCTATCGACGTACCGTCCTGGTAAAACTTGTTCGATTCTTAGGACCAACTTCCATCCAACCATCATCTTTAACAGTTTTATCGAATTGTTGAATATGGAGATTATCATCTTTTTTGAGAGCTATCATCAATCGTTATATAACTTTTAATTTTTCGAATTATAACAATAGAACTAAACGTTATTTAGATAAATTTACCTGCTAAAAACTCTTCATGTAGTCCATCAAGGAGGAACCCAAGAAATTCTTCGGCATCTTCCTGGCGCCCTTTCATGGAATCGAAACGTTTGAGTCCTCTTAATGCATTATATACATATTCAGGGGAGAACGCTTCTCCGAATTCTAAGATAAATAAATGTATTATAAATTATTTTATAATTTAAACCTTAATATAATTCAATTCGTATATCGTAAAATTATAGATAAAATATACCTTCGACACCTTCGGGACGTTTAGGTTGCTTGTATTCATTAATAAACCTCACCCTTTAAATTATAAAATAAAATAAAATAATGTTATTCATAGAAGCAGCATAATGGTAATTGTTAAGTTGATTTATAGACAAACTTACAAAGAATCGACAAGAGGCGTCTTACTATTGAAGTTATGAGCGACTTCTTTATTAATGAGTGCGAGTAGGTTACAGAACGGTGGACAATGTGAGAGTGTTTGTAATATCTTATATTAAAATATTAAAGACGTTTAGAACGTTGAAAAACATCCATCATCATTTTATAAAAAGCTCGAACATACCGCGTTCATAAAACACATATTACCATTATTTATGAGTCCTCGCGGACCCATCGTTACATTCTCGAAAGATGGATCAAAATCCTTCAGCAAGTCTATTAATATAAGAATAGCGTTAATATCGTACAAATGAAGTAAAAAGGTATGTAATCCATAAATCGAGCTGCTATTTTACCTGCTAATCCTCCTACTTTGGGCCTTCCATTCGTTAATGGAACAGCTAGTTTTTGTGGCTTTCGTGATTTGATAGGAGAATCAGGAGGCTTTGTGTTTGATTTAGAATTATCGGCTACAACGGTAGCAAGCTTTGAATTTTCGCCTTTCGGGAAAAGGTCGGCCCAACGCATTGTTGACGATTTTTTAGGTGAAATCACATCATTTGAATTATGCTGGATTTCGGGTGCATTTTCATTTATCGATCGTTCGCTTGATGATTGATTATTTGAAGATAAAATTACTGAATTATTTGTCTGTGCAACTTGTGTTAATCCATTATTCAGATCATTATTTTTATTGTTTTCGGGAACTGTAGTCGGAGATTTTTCATTAATATGAACATTTGATGTGGAATGCTTTACGGCCTTGATCGTTTGCTGATTGACTGTGGAAGTAAAATGAAAAGCAGTATTCGGTGACGTTATTTGCATTGCCTTCATGGCCGCTTGTGAAAATGATATATTATGTTTATTACTACATTCTTGTGGCTTTGAAATAGCTTTTATTTTTACACCGCCTAATTTGAAATTTGATGTTTTTAGAAAAATATTTTTAAAATTAAAAATATTTTTTTAATATAAGTGAACGTATAAATTACCTCTCCTTAGAGGTGGATACCCTATATTAAATGGCACCTGAAAAAAAAAAATCATTTTAAGTTAGAAAATCTGGCTATAAGAAGGCTTAGAAAGACGCAATCAGAAAAAGTATATGCCTTTGATGCCATGTTTTTTTGTGTATTTTTTGTGATTGCTTCAATAGCTTCCCTTCCTGAGAAGGACCCGTATATCGGTTTAAATTCCTTATAACAAAGTAAGTTAAGCATTTTAACATTTGTAGCAAAAGTAATCAAACATTTGATCAAAAGTTATGAAAAAGCTAACCTTTTGTGAATGCATGTTTATTTGTGCTAGTATTTACCTGATGTTATACGCGTCTCAGAATTTTTATACGAAAAAATTTGACTTGGACTATTTCATGGATAGACAAAAGAATTTCGTGGCACCGAAACATCGATTGCATGATGTCTATGTTACTTCAAAACCATTGAAAGAGTGGCATATAATAGAAGATTACGTTGGCAGGCTACTGGAGAATAATCCAGGGTTATCAGAAAATGGTCTTTTCGCGACTTGTTGTCAGAGTTTAAGTTCGTTATCAAAACAGGTTCCGGATTGGCCAGAAAGCGTTTCTAAATACGCCTCCACTTTACTTTCAAAATGGAAGGGACCTGAGAAAGGTCACTGGTTTGAAATTGCAAAAAAAGTTATTCAACGTGCGCGTAACAATGATAAAATCAAAGTAAATAACGCTGAACTTCGGCAAAAAGAAACAATTCAACGGCAGCGATCTATGGCTTGTGCAATTGAACTCGTCACCACCGAGATCGATGAATTACCACGCAAACGTAAACGTACAAGTAATCCAACGTCCAATGAAGAAATTTCAGAGAAGGATGAGGTTTCTTTTACTAATTTTGCATTTCGCAAATAAAGTTGAATTTATCTGAGTCATTAGTAACTAACTTAATTGATATGCAGGATACTGATACAAATAATACTCCGCCACATTTTACTTTAATAAGTTCTGATAGTGAATCCGATGAAGATGATAATACGAATAAGGAAGAAGAATCTTCTCTTGAAATAAATCTCGCATTGTTTGATGTTGATCAAAGTAAAGGAGATTCCGAGTGGAAATTACAAGATGGTCAACAACTTGTTAAGGTTCTTAATAGAAAGACATCCGAAATGGTTAAACAATTTTCGAAAAAAGACAAAAAACAGCGAACTCTAATTGTGAAGAGTGTTATCAAGTATGGTCTCATATTTTTCTATGTTACAGATAAAATGAAATTTCTAACATGGTAAATACAGGTTAGGACTGTCTTCGATAATTGATTTATCATCCGAGTTCAAAGACGGGATGTATACATGGTTTGAGAAAGATTGGGCTGTTATTAAAAGGAAAGTCTATAAAATTGTTGATATGAAACCGAAAGGTTTCGAGGGTGAAGTGAAAAATGTAATAGACATCATTGAAGAGGTAAGTAATTATTTATTGACGTTTGAGAATATGTGCATGTTACTTTGTTTAATCTTTTATGTCTATTTGACTATAATCAGATGTGTGACGCGTATAAATATAATGAAGCCCGAGATTATTTATATAAAATCAAAACTTGCTATACCTCTCAGACGTTAATACAAATAGCAAATATTTATTTTTATGTGTGAGTTTTTTAAAATTTTCTCTCTAGTTTTCGATTTTAATTACATTTGTCACTAAATATTGATAAATTTATCATTAGAATTGATAAATATTTAAAAAATGCTTTTATTTTTGTTGATAAATCCGGAAAATGCCAAGAACTAAGCGAAATTGAGTATGCAATTGAGATGATAGCACCAATAATGAGTGAAATATTTAACGATACATCTGAATATATAAACCTTCGCTGGTAAGATCGATATAATTATCTTTACATAAGCAATAAATAGTATTGATTTCATACTATGTATATAGGGGAGAGAAACTTTCCAACGTAATGTCCGATCGACGTAGAAAAATTGATTTACGAATCATTCGTATCGCAGATAAACTTGAACTAAGTCATTCAGAATGTGCAAAGGTTCCATTACCCACGAAAATAGTACATGACCGATCAAAATTTTTACGTACACTAAAAGGTATTTTAAATAATTTTTTGAAAGAAGACTTATCCGACGAAGTGCGAGATTCAAAAATTTTAGGAATTCAATTTTATGGTAAGCGTATGCTATGAATTCATAAATCAATTACATATTTAACATTATTATGGTTGTTATTTAAGGCTTATATGGTCAGATTATAGGTGTAGATCTTATAGATGATGGGCTGTACTTTGGACTTGAAGGTTCATCTTTTGAATTTCCGACACAACTTACGAATATTAAATGTCTCCGTAACGCATTGGAGGCTTTATTTTTTTTCAAGGTAAGATATTATCATTATTTTGATGGTAATTAATAGTATTTATTTATTAATTAATTTATGTATATATGTATATTAGAAAAATATCATTGAAAAAGCAAAATTACGAGCTGATCCGACAAAGGCTAATCATCCTCTTCATAAGATACTACATCAATCAGGTAGCTTAGAAGCGAACCATTTCAAGATCAAGTAAATTCGAGATACATATTTTACTCCAAAAAAGATCAGAATATTTATGATAATTGAGTTCGGAGGACTCTATATATTACAAGAAAATGTCCCGTCTGTCTGCATTCACGTGATGATCAGCTCACGTGATTGTAACATAGATATTTGTAAAACTTTTATATTTTAGATTTATTTATAATCGAAGTAAAAATATTCGTATCATTTAAATACATTAAATTTTAAAGTGAAAACAACGTTTCAATCTTTTATAGTTCTTGATGTGTTGAAGTCTATCGATTGTGAACGGTATTAAGCAAAGATCACTAAGTGAACGACCTGTGACAATGCTACAAATGTTAGACTGGCTGAAATCTCTTTTTTTCCAATGTCTATTTTGGCCTTCTCAAAGGTCAAGCCTTGACTTTTGTGGGTCGTTATATCCCACGCAAGACATATTGGTACTTGAAGTCAAGAACAGGTTGTCCCATTTTTGCCTTCCCAACTACATGCGCGAAAAAAGTTTTCGGAATCACATTTTAATCTGAAAATAAATAGAATTGCATAAAAATTAAAATATATATTCTTTATTATTATAGAAAAAAAGTTGTTAAAGCTTAATTAATAGCTTATCTTATTACCATTACCTCAATTACTTGTTCTGACATACTACTAATTAAATTAATAAATATTTCGGGTTCAATTCCCTCCTACTCTTTTTGAATTATATGAAGAAAAGCATCTATAGTGATTGATTTTTTTTGCCAACAATATATTAACCTGTTTCTCTACACGCCTATTCAAAATTGCCTATAAATTTTCAATTGGATTGAGGTCCGGACTTTTTGATGGCCAATCTAACAACCTCGGACACCATTCTTCAGTATTAGATTTATAATTTCCACATGAACGGTATATAAATTTATATGTTCAATTCCAAACCTGCCATTCTTACTGTATATAAAAATATAAGCTGCGTGACCATATAAAATTTTGTTGCTGATCATAACTGCAATACTGCGCGAATTATTAAAAGTTTTCTATACTGAATGTTATTCCGAAAACTTTTTTCGTGCACTGTACGTCTGATAGGTGTTATCAGAACAACTTCTTCCTCTTCTATGGTCGTTATAGTGGGTCCGTTATAATTTGAGAATTTTACGAACACTGCTGTTGGAAGTGCTGGCGGTACTATTTATTTTTTTTTTTTAATTATTCTTTTTCAAATGTAATTTGAATTTCTGTCTCGTTTACTTCTCAAAATGCTTTTAAGTTTTAAAAGTTAAACGGTTCAGATATAATATGCCGATTTAATATTTAAAGTATTAACGCAAGAAAGTTTAGTATTAATTTTATTAATAAAAATCTTTTAATGTTGTCAATTTATAGTAAAAAGATATTATTGGAAAAATGTTTATGAAAAACAAAAAATAAAACTCACTTTGGTTCAATCGAGAACTATCATAATATAAATCATTTATTTTGGAACAATAATCATTATTTGACTAGAATAATGTAAATTCATTTCATATTTTTCAGAAAAATTAAAACTAAAGATTTTTGCATCTGTTAAAGCATTATAAAATATACGTTTTATCTGTGATTTTTGCATAAAGTAGGTTG